CTCCAGCCAGAGAGAGGACGGAAACTCCTGCGACTTTGACTGGGTGAGGGTTGAATACTGCTGCTAATGCTGCTAAATATGGAGGACACACTCACTGTACAGCCACACTCAGCAAGTTACCTCACATGTGTTTCTCCTGCTTTTTTTAGAGGGAACTGGAGATCCTCATGTTCCTCACTGCCATTGTGATGATGAAGAACAGGAGAGCCAGTAAGTCAACATCAACACTTGGGCTCCTACTGTGGGACCTTAAGTTATTTTTCATGCAGTTAACAGTAATTAAAGCCCAGAAACCTGAGTTATTGTTTTTTTAAATAATTTTAATTGCCCCATAGTTTTTATTTTGATTACCATCATATTGTTTCACCCTTTTCCTCCTTTGTCCCTGCACTTTCTGAACTGACTGGTTAAATAACATTTAGACAAAATCAGAACAATAATAGAAGAAATATTGTTCTGGGTCATTTGAAAACAACCACATTTGACTTGAAGTCTTATAAAAACAATACACAAACCATTAATAGACTCTTTGAGTCAGAAATTAGACATAGAGACTAAATGAACCACAGAGTAACTCAACTTCCCGCTCTACCTCAACATGTGGTATTGCATTTTCGAGTCTATAGTAGAACGTCACGTGCAGTATTCGGTCACTTGGATCGTTACCATGTGTTCAGGTTCCTCCGTGGATCAAGCTGCTGTTTGTTTATGTGTTAACACGGTGATGTCTTTGTTTATGTTTGTTTATGTTTTCAACAGTTTAATCACCATCATCACATTGGCCTGTGTTTTAACAATAAACTATTAATGATCAGGTGAAACTGCTGCTACTTTTCTGCACTTCTATTCAGGACGGAGGACGCAGTAATAGTTTAGTTAAACTTTAGCTATATTTGGGGTTTAATGTGTAACTGTTCAAAATAATATGTTTAAAAAAAATCTAACTCTCATCTTGAAACTGTAGCTTTGTTGTGACAACAGCGCGGTGCAGTCCAGCCCAGACTGTGACCTTGTGAAGGTTGTTCACCTGCTTCTTTCTCTCTGTCTGTCTGTTTCCCAGTCACACTGGAGCAACATATAGGAAACATCTTCCTGTTCAGTAAAGTGGCCAACGTCATCCTCTTCTTCAGGTTGGATGTCCGCCTCGGCATCCTCTACCTGGCGTTATGTCTTGGTGAGTGGCCTTGTATCGAAGAGAAAAATTTTCCTGTAAATCCCTTTAATCTTCCTTAACGTTTATGTCTAAGCAAACAGACATAAAAACTATCAAAGGCTTCTTCCTGTTTCCAGCTTTCGTCATGACCTGTAAGCCTCCTCTCTACATGGGACCTGAGTACATCAAATACTTCAGTGACAAGACCATGGACGTGAGTCAGTCTCAGAATATTACAATAAAAACACCTAGTACTGTATGTTCCGGACGGTGATCTATCATCTGTGACATTACTTTTCTGGTCTTTCTGACTTTGGATCAACAGATTTGTCTCAGTCCAAATGTCCTGCTCTGATTTTGTCCTTTGTTAGGAGGAGCTGCAGAGCGACAGTCGTGTCACCTGGATTGTTGAGTTTTATGCCAACTGGTCTTCAGACTGTCAGTCCTTTGCCCCCATCTTTGCCGACCTTTCGCTTAAGTAGGATTTCCTTCAACTTTGTTGAACCTTTCTCACGTAAACACATTTATACAGGATCAGGATGATAAAAGACAATTTACATGAACATTCAAACATTTCTCATGGAGCTTCTGCCCCAACAGGTATAACTGTGCTGGACTCAGGTTTGGGAAGGTGGATGTTGGACGTTATGGAGAGGTTTCACAGAGGTGAGCTTTTTTTTGTTTCTTTACATTTTGACTGTCTTAAACAGTTTAACACTAACTTAAGTGTTCATTTCTCCACAGGTACAAAGTCAGTACGTCTCCTCTGTCCAAGCAGCTGCCCTCACTGCTGCTTTTCCAAGGAGGAAAGGAAATAATGCGACGTCCCATGGTGGACAGTAAAGGGAGAGCAGTGTCTTGGACATTCAATGAGGTTCGTCGTTTGTTTTCTATTTTATTACCAGACACATGGAGAACAAACCAGATAAGGAAGTTATAATATGCTGATATCTTTTAAGGAATTTTCCCTCATTGACATTTTCCACTGGTCTTTGCAGAAGCCAACAATATAAATTGGAGTTTTTGTCTAAATAACTAATGAAGTTTGTTTTTTTCTACAGGAGAACATCATCAGAGAGTTTAACCTCAATGAACTTTTCCAGAAATCTAAGAAACTGAACAAAAGTCAAGGGACGAAGGTGGAGGAGCAGACAACCAGTCAGCCAGAAGAGGGCAGCAACAAGCTACACAATGGAACCCCAGAGAGGTCTGCAGAGAGCAAAAAAGACCAGTGAAATGGACAAAGGAGTTTCGTCTTTGCTTCTTCTATCATTGTGCCTCGTTATTCTTCAAGTCGTGGAACAATATGAAAAAGGTTCAAAAGCTGCACGATTTCATCTCCACGTCAGCAAATACCCAAATGAGCCACTTACTGTACCCTCACTTTTTTTGTTTGGGTCAAGGTGTTTGATGTTGTGGCTTGAATCTGTGCAAAACATCAAGCAGTGACTTATTTTCTTATACATATTTATTTATTTTTAAACAAATGTCTCGCTGTGTAGTTACTCTTGCAGCATCATTGCATGGAAACTCACGTTGCTTGGATTTTCAACTCGTGTTGACTGATGTCTGGTACTACAAAACCAAAGTAAACTATGAATATTTAAACAAATAAAAATCAACTGCAGTTCAGATTGACCATGTGTTCAGTTTTTAATCACACTGACCTGTGTATTCTTAAAAACCTGATCCTGACAAACCCTTTTGGAAATGTCTTTAATGAACTCGTTACAGATATTTGTGAAACTCGTTCCCACCCATCATCACAGCCCACAATCGTAATATTTTATCTCATACAGAAGTATATTTTTTTAATTCTCACACATCTTTAAATTGTTCAAGGGTTGCCATCCTTGACCAGAGAGGGAAGAAACTTACTTAACACTGGTTCTCTTCCATTTCCGTGTGACGGCTGCTGGTGCCACTAACAACGCTTCTTCTCTCATTATCACGCACACATGGACCCCACATGGGCATTTGACAAGATTCTCAAAAAGCTATGCACGCCAGTGAAGCATTCATCAAAACAAACCAAGAAATAACACACATGCAGACTGTAGAAAAAGCCTGACAGAAAGCAGCGACTGAGAGCAAACTGTACTGCTGCTGAGCTTCAAACCCCCGACCCCTGCCAAAAAATACGCTACTTGGAACCAGCTGCAGATGTAACAATGGGATCTGATATAGAAAAAAAAATACACCTTTAACCGCCACATTCTTGCTGACAATCTCATGTCATTTGTTGACGCATAGTTTAAAATAGATCTGTACCTTTAAATATATTTTTAAGAAAATAAACAAGACAATGTGTTTTTTCTTCAAAGTATTACATAAAAAGTCTTGTTTTACTACGAATGGATTTGAGGCAAATAAAATAAAAATGCCAACTGCACTCCAGTCAATTTATCAAATATCTATTTAGTGGCATTCAATGTTTCATTCTTCCACTTCCTCTCAAATAAAAAAAAACATCCCTTCACTTAAAAAAAGAATAAGACTGGTTTGAATGGGTGTCCAAAACAAGGTGGTCTAGTTTGGTGTAATAAATAAACCCCTCCCCCTCGCTGCTCCCGTTTGGATGGTCATCTATTAAAGGTTATTCTTTGCATTTTTTAAAGATCGCAGAAAACACAAAAGAGAAAAAAAAAAACACCAAAAAGACATGAAATGATTTTAAAGCTAAAACAGATTTTGCATAATGTCTCTAGCACAAACATTGCAAGCTTACATTTCACAACGATACTTGTGCTGGAATCATGATTCTGAAATTTCTTTGTGGCATTTTTTTTGTCCTTTTTCATAAAGAATTCAGCTCAATGATTTGCCTCCTGTGCGCTCAACGAAGAATCCTTCTCTTTGGACGATTATAGTTCCAGCAAGAGCTCATGATTGGCTGATGCAGCCATCCAATAAAAAGTGAGCAACTGATCTTAAATCGCTTTCAAAAGGAATAATTACACAGTATACATCTACCACCTGGCCAAAAGTCATCTTCAATGCCTGACAATTTTAAACCAGACCGTAATTGTAAGATTATATACATGAATATAAAACAATATCTTAAAAAAGATTTATAAAACTAAATGATACTGTGTGTAAAGGCTGGACTCTTTTTCTTTAAAACTCTCATCAAGCAACACGTCGTGTGGTCCGTTCAGACAGTGAAAAAGAAAGCGTTTTGATTGGTCGACAGTCCTGACTCATCACTCCTTCACTCTACATCCACTTGATATTTTCTTAAAATGCTGTCAGCACTCTGCACTGTGCTCGTGTACCACAGCAAAACAGCAAATCAGTGAATAGCTGTGTGACGACACAACTGTAGCTAGCTGTGCAGTGTTGCAGTCACATCAGTCTATGGCTCACGGAGTGGCTGAATGGACAGACAATAATCCTGTGGGGAAACTGACTCACGCCTCCCTGTTCCTCTTTGTTCAATACGTAAAGGCTGGAGAAGACCAAAGTCCCGTGGCATCACAAAGATCATAACCGGAGTACCAAGAACCACTCCTTCAGTCCGTTACAGCAGAAAACCGTTCTAATTTTAGGAGCCTGCGTGGCAGATAATGTCCAGCTCGATGAAGACAAGTAGTCCAGTGACACCCCCTCCTTTGTGATGGGTCATGGAGGACGCCTGTTGCTCACACTGATATCTCATAGGTGGTCCCCCCGACGCCTGTCACCTTCTTTACCCCGCCCCCTGGTTTGGATGTGGCGTGATTGGTCGAGACTGGGCGAGAGGTGAATCTGGTTGGACAGTCATAGGGAAGAGGAGGAAAGTGGGGAGGTGGGGGGTTGTGGGTAAAAAGTAAATTAAAGTGGAGGATAGAAAGGGATATGGAGATAGGAAAACGTGAGTTAACACAAAAAGCATTCGTCTAATGCATTGACTTTTTATAAGAAATGGATGGAGCCATCCAGCACCGAGCTTCAGTTGCATGGGGATGCAAGAAAAACAACAGGATTCCTCCACGTCTATCAGGAGTAACTCGTTTGGGAAATGTTAGTGTTGTAAACACAAAAAGGAAGTTGTCTATTCCAGGCAATGTGGTAAATAAAGTACCATGATCCATTTTTTAAAGCGGATACTTCAAAACCCAGCACAGTTCCTGTCTTCTGCTGGTGCTTTTACACAGAGGGAGCTACATCCATTTCTTTCATTCATGGGCTACAATCTGAAGATCCACTCTTAAGGCACCATGTGAAAAATTTGACGGCGACATATTCATTGGTACAGCACAGTGGTCATGCATGTGCTTAACACATATGGACATGCTTTTGACACAGATCCACAAACACCAATCTAAGAACTAAAGACCTTTGAAACAAACTAAACGTGCAAACCAAACGATCAAAGATTGCTTGGTAACGGTGAAAGAAGAAAAGGAAAACTCACACAGATCAGGAAGGAAGAGGAGGGCTGACACAAATCAGGGAGGAAGAAGGACAGAGTTATAACAAAAAAAAGAAGTAGAAGAGGAGCAGGCTAAGGATCTAGCGACGGAGCACTACTCACTGTGGAGCCTGTTGCCCTCCTCCGGCTCCTACCCCTCCCAGCACAACACCTCCTCCTGCAGGTCGAGGCTTGTGCTGAGGCCCTGCATCTCCACTGTGAGCCTGAGATTTGCTGAGGGAGAGGCCGCGAGGCGGCGGAGAGACAGGGGGCTCCAGGGAACGAGCCCCAGGGGATGAGGACGAGGAGGAAGGGTTACGAGGGCCTCGGGTGGAGGGGTCCTGGTTATGTTGGAGCAGGTGCTGGGTCTCAGGAGGGGGAGGGCTGACGGCACGCAGGTAGGCCCTATGAGGGGAGGAGAAAGTGGCAGAGCCCTGGAGCAGCTGCCCCTCCCTCTGCTGGGCAATCTGAGCTGAGAGGAAGGGCGACATGTAGCCCTGCAGCGGGGTACTGGGCAGCGCCACCTCAGTGCGGCCTGTGATAGCCGCCGAGGGAAACAGCTTTTGTGGCGACAGCTCGTGGGCCGCCGACTCAAACTCTGGGCTCTCGGATGGCGTTAGAAGGCTGTCGTAGGACAGACTGCCATTCCGAGGCGTTTGATTGGCCAGGCTTTTGTAGCTGGTGTCTGTGGTGCCCTCTGAGTGGAGGGTGGCCAGAGGGTTGTGTGCTGTGTGCGCCGAGCGCAGGCTGGAGGTGTGTGAGCCACCGGTGGACAGAACGAGAGAGGATGGATAGGAGGTGTAGGAGCGACCGGTCAGGGAGTAACCTGACATGCCCCCAGGCACCACCCCAGCAGTTCCGCCTGGGCCCCCGGGGCACTCAACCCACTCCCTTCCCCCCCCGCTTTCCGCCCTCATCC